TGAGAAGCAAACAAACAAACAAAGCAGGTTCCAGAGATACATAAGGAGATGAGGGAAGGCTAGGGTTAGGGAAAATGTGGGTCTGTTTCAACATGGGGCAGGGACCCTGGTAACAAAGGACACCATAAAGGCAGAGGTACCTAATACCTTCTTTACCTTAGATTTAGCCTGGGCAGAGGAGGAAAACCTACTGGACAAATATCCACAGACCCTGCTGGGGTGAACCTGAGTACGGAGGGCGCTGAATGATGCTACCGTGAAACTCAACTGTCTTTAAAGGGTCATGGTTATTGTGGGAGATTCCTGAGGCAGGAGGACAAACATCTCTGCTATCATCAAGGGCAAGAGTGAGGATCTGGAGAACTGCAGGGCGGTCAGCTCAGTCTCCCGGGAAGGTGTTGCATCAATTAAGCCTGGATACTGTTTCCAGGCGGACTGGAGGGTGAGTGAGAGCAGTCAGCCTGGGTTTACAGAGGGAAATTGTGCTCGCCGAACCTGATGGCCTTCCTCAATGTGCTGTCCGGCACGGTGAGCGAGAGCAGAGTCACGTTGCTTGCCTCGACTTCAGCTGGGCGTTTAATACTGTCTCCAGTAACGTCCTCCCAGACAAGCTGATGGAGTGTGAGCTAGATAAGTGGTCAGGGAGGGACTGAAAATTGGCCAAACTGCTGGACTCAGAGAGTGTTGATCAGTGACACAAAATCTAGCTAAAGACTAGGGGTCATTAGGAGACAGCCTGGGGCCACTGCTAATGTCTTCGTTAATGACCTGGGTGCAGGCCCAGGATGTGCCCTCAGAAAGCCCAAAACTGGAGGGGATTCACTGATACATGAGGTCTGGGGTCCTGGTAGACACAGAGTTGAACACAGGCTGGCAAATGGTCCCTGTGACAAGAGAGGACTGTCAGGGCTGCATTAGGAACAGGTGCTGGTGGGTTGAGGCAGGTGATCCCTCTGCTCAGCTCTGAGGAGAATGTAAAGAGGATGGGTCCGCACAAAGGACAGAGCAAAGACACATTCGTAGGAAGCACATGGGCCCTTGTGTCTTTCATGTGTGTGACATTTTTCTGTATCTTCCTCTGTTGCAGAATCTTCTGAGTTAACATGTCTTTTCATCCCCAGTAGCATTGAAGACCCAATAGCTGATTGACAGCTGAGAGGAAGGGTGATTGCACTACATCCTGTTTTTATGCTCTCACCATAAAAAAAAAAACATGTGAAATGAAGCTAGGGTAATGAGTAAAACGTATTAATAATTTTAAATTTAGATGTATTGGCAGGAAGTTAAATTTCTTCCTCCTTTGCTCACCTATCCTTCTCAGGAGGCAGGGATTCCGAGAGGAGACTAAATGTAAAGCAACCTGAGCATAAACCCATCCTTGTAGGACTAAGGAGTTGTCAGAATGTTATAGTGGAAGCTGATTTTCAAAATCTTGCCCTAGATTTTCAGCCCTTGGGTTGTTGTGAGGCAGAGTTAAAGCTGTTTGGCTTTACCTCAACCTGCTTAGCAAGGGACAAAAATATCAGCTATGACTAGCGCACATTAGCATATGTAAATTGTGTCCTTAAATTGTAGTCTGGGTAATGGCTGTGCCGTGTTTAGCTGGGATACGCAGGAAGGGAGCAGGGTCTGGCAGAGCGCCACGTTGTGAAGAGGATGAGAGGAGGTGGCGAGGCAGGACGAGGTCCTGGTCTCGCTGCCTCCCTGCGTTAAAGGCTTTTCTTGCAGTCCCAGGCCTTGCAGGCGACAGTGCCATGGGCAGCGTGGTGGGCACTGATGCTTGATTTCAAGGTGAGATCAGAAATGATCAGATCATTTCTGTGGAAAAGAGATCCTGTAGTGTAAATTTCCTAGAAGAGTCATTGACATTTATTGAGAGATGTCAAGCCATCACTTCTTGTGCTGTAATTTTGGGGAGGATGCTGTAGCTTTCACGTTTTCATGTAAATCCTGCTTTAGGCTCAGAATTTAGGCACTGATCGAAACAGGAACTGTAGTGGCATGCCAAGTTGACTTTTTAATGTTATATTAAATACACGGGCCCAGGAATAAATGGATTTTAATGACTTTTCGTTTGTAGCTATTCTGTGACAGACTATTGCTTGCCTTCTGTATCTCTTGCTGCTTAGGAAATGGAAGATCTTGCAGACACCTGTCCCTGGATTTCTCTAAATCAGAAGCTGGAAATAGGTTCACATTCCCCCTGGAAGTACTCAAAGGCACCTGCACGGGGCAGCCCGCTCTAGGTGACCCTGCTTGAGCAGGGGGATTGGACTAGCTGGTCTCCAGAGGTCCCTTCCACTGAACCGCAACTGTTCGGTCATTCTACATGACTCCGTGAGAACGCAGCCTCCCAGAAATGCCTTGGCATCAAGTTTTGAGCCATTTCTCAGACACGAGGGACAATCAGAGCTTGTGGCGCTCTGAAAAGGCAGTGTCTGCTTGCAGTCATTCTAGCAGACTGATGCTCCGCGTGTCCCTGAACCCATGTCCTCAGCAGTTGCCTCAGTCAGTCCTGCAGAGCAGGAGGGGTCTATTGGCTGCTTAGTTGTCTGCTGCTAGCAGGGGCTCCTCAGGATGCTACCCCAAGAGCAGCAAGTAAAAGCCAACACCGCAAAGCCCCCCAGAATGCACACGGACCCCTTTAACTCAGAGGAAAATGGCAGTAAATAGGGAAAAGGGAAGTCTTTCTAAAGCCAGAGCACATGAAAAATGTAACTGTGACACGGACACCCTCCTACAGACTGCAGCAAGTAGTTGCTGCACTCGTTGGTGCCGCTGGGCGCAGGCATGTCTGTAAGTGAGATGTGCTTGGAGAGCTGCCGTGCATTTGGCTGATGAATGTGGTGCTGGAATAGGGTTTTCTTTGGAAGGGCAAATGTGCCGCTGCACAACGCGCTCGGTGGCGCTGCGTCCAGCGAGCTGGCCCTGCAGAGCGAGCGCTTCCTCTGCGAGGGCTGGAGGACGTGTCCGACCCCCGGGCGCAGCTCCCTGCCCTTTCCAAATAGCTGCCTTTGGTGACTGTCATCCTGCCCCTTCCCGACCCTCAAAAGATAAGCAAACAAACAAGCAGGATGGAAACTGCAGTGAATGTTTTAAGTGAGTACCATTCAAAAGACAAGACTTTTCCTTAGAACATATTACATCCAGTTCAATGTCCAGGCCTGCAATTCCAGGTGACCTGGCAATGTCCATGGGGCAGAGGGCCTCAGTCATGCTGGCACAGACGTGCTTGGAGTAAAGGAGGGCAAAGCCACGGTGTTCCCGCACAGCTCCCAACGCCGGCGAGTGCCTGGGTGTTGCCGCTCACTGTCAGCAAGGTGCGTCCTGCACCTACATGAAGCGGCTGTCCCGTCCAGGACACCCTGCGCACCAAGAGAGCCTTTCTGCAGAGCCTCTTCCCCAGCCAGAGGACGTGCGGCTCTGCGGGCAGCCCCTGACCATGCAAAGCAGAGAGCAGAGCCCAACAGCCCCATCCCCCTGCGACTGCTGGGCCACGTTTTTGGTGGTGTGGGCCCCAGCGGGCCTGTGCCTGGAGCCAGCAAGAGAGCTTCGCAGCACTCGTGATCTGTCCCTTGCTCCCCAGGGCTGCCCTCACCCTAGAACAAGCAGCCCAGGAAAGGTTGGAACGGGTCAGCCAGGAAGGCTGTGGAGTCTCCATCCTTGGACATATTCAGGAGTTTTGGGCAACTTCCTCTAGCTGAGCCTGCTTCAGGCAGGGGGAATGGACAACCACCTGCAGAGGTCCCTTCCAGCCTTACTCTTGTGTGATCCTCTGTAGCTCAGAGCCACCACATTGAGAGGACACCCTAAAGGCAGCAAATCCCAGTGGGCTTGTTCCTAAAAACCAGATGAGCTCAGCAAGCTCTGGCCCTGGCTCCACTACTACCATGGTGCCTAGAAACCAAGCCTGCCCTGGAAACAGCAAGGATGTTGCATGGGATCATCCTGATTTCCAGGTCCTGGGGATGCCCTTGTGCCTGCCTGCCCAGCGATCACCTCCCTTCTCTAAGGGCAAAGCCTGCACCCTTCGCTGGGCACCAGCCCCATGGGGAGCTGCTGGCAGCAGCTCCATGGCAGGCCTCAGCACACACTGCTCATGCCAGCTTGGGTGAGGTTTCTCATGCCCAGCAGGAAGGGCTTTACAGAAGTTTTTTTTTGTAACTCTTGCAAAGCTCAGAGCAAGTGGCAGCTCCTCCTGCTGCTGAGAAGGCTTTCAAAGCCCACCCGTGAGCCCTGCAAACCACCAGCACACGCTGCCCCTCGGCGACGGAGCTCAGCAAGCACCCACGCAGTGACACCATCGCTCATTAAAGGTTTGTTTTTATTTCTGGTTGAAAATCAAAATTAGTCATTCTCTGTACTTACATTATATATAGATTTATAGAGACATTATAGAAAAGAATTTTTTGCTTTTGTTTTTCTGCAAAAATTTGTAAATAAAAAATAAAATAAAACAAATAATAATAATAAAAAAAACAGGTGGCAGCTTCTGTCCATTCTTTCTGTCCATCCCTGTCTGTTGTTCTTCCTGCCCCTGCCCTCCACAGTGCTTCCCAAGAGACTGGGAAAGGCTCTGAGCGGGGGCCAAATCTCACTGCACTCCCTATGGCCAGGCCTGGGGAGGGACAGGAGCACGTGGAGCTGGAAAGAAGAAATGCCAGCAGAATATATTAATATCTTATATATCATTTTATTTAAGTCTTGGTGACTGGGTGGCAAAGGGTGACAGTCCCCACAGCCCAGGAAACTCCTGGGAAGAAACAGCATCGTTTCCAAAGTGCAGGTCCTTCCGGGGAAGGGCACGCGCCCTCGAGCAGGAGGAAGGGAAGTGGCAGAGAAGTCCGGTAGGTCTCTGCCCTGCTCCGGTCCCAGCAGCTGCAGCCAGCGACTGGGCAGGTAGGACAAGCTCCCTGGCATTTAAATAGCAATCAAAGGGCGAGAGGTGCGAACCCCTCCCCGCCCAGGGTGCCTACAGGCCACCCCAAATGGCCCAGGGGACACGGTGCTCTGTAGGGCGGGGGGCGGCGGCAAGCTGCTGGTAGGGGTAATACTGCAGTGCGCTGCTGAGGGTGGGCGCCTCTGGGTGCTGCCTTGGCGCAGTCCGTGCAAGCCCGGGCTGCCCAGCGGTGCCGTTGCCCTGAGGGACGGCAGGCAGGGGCGCGTGGTGTCTCAGAAAGCTGTGCTGGCCATGCTGGCGGGTGCGAAGATCCTCGGGAGGCTGTCCAGGGTCTCCTCCAGGAGCCGGTGAGCTGATTTTCCGTCCTCCCCTGCAAGCACAGGTTGCGGTGCGTGAACCTGCGTTCTGGAGCCCCTGCTCATCCTCAGCCACCTTCTCTTGCCTGGAAGGGGGGCTGTGGAACTGAGCCCAGGTGACACAGCCACAAAGCCCAGAAACGACTCTTGCCCTGCCTAGCCCAGCCTTGGACAAGGTCCTGGCTGGGTTCAGGCTCATGAAGCCTCCAGGGCTCTCGTATTTGATTCAGACATGGCAGATTGTGTTCTGCAGCTGTGCTGTGCCCACAAGGCAGGGCTTGCCTGCAGCTCAACTTCAAGCTCTGGCTGCTGACCCCATCTCACCTGCATCCTAAGCAGCCGTGCACGCCTGTGTGTGCTTGCTCCAGTGTCCCCAAGGCTCCCCAGCACCCTTGCCTACATGCAGGGACAAGGATGTCCATGCTGCAAAGTGGCCCAGCCACCTCTGCCCTGGCACCCCCTTCTTCCCGCAACACAGATCTGCGCATAGCGGCCATCCCGCAGCGGGAGGTTGTGACATGGACAAATGGCTGCAAAACGGGACACAAGGTGCCTACAACGTGCCGGGTGTGCCACGGAGACGGGCTCTACAAACAGCCAAGACGCACGGACTCCAAAACACGACGTGGCTGACAGGCTCTAAGACGAGATACTTGTGAGCAAAGCAACAGGAGCAGGGACCAGGGACGAGGATGGCTCACGTGTCCCAACCTGTGCAGCAGCTGTCACGACCCGGAGGCCTAGAAACCCACTCAGATGGTTCTCTCAGTGCCATCTAGCAAATAATAAATAACAACCACACTTAGCACTCCGGCGCCAGGGGTGCTTCCAGCCCTCACTGCCCACCGCCAGCCTGCTCTTGCCTGGGCAGAGTTTGGGGTGCTGGCACAAGGGAAGACATGAGCCAGAGCAGATAGGGCTAGACTAGGCAGGGAGGAGCCCAGGACACCTTTTTCCCACAGGGAATGCCAGCGCATGGCACTGGGAGATGCCCCTTGGGAGCCCTGCATGGGGAGGGAGCAAAGCAAGGCAGCAGGGCACTCACCACACAGCATCAGGCTCTGCTTGGCTGCCTCCCGCACAGGCTCCTTGTCTGTTTGGCACAGGTAAACCAGCTGCTCGATGCTCTCCTTGGCCTGTGGGAGTCAAGGCACAGGGCTAAATGTGGCTGGGAGACCTGGCAGCAGGAGCACAGCCAGGGGGAAAGGCAGCATGGATTGCTGCAGCTCCACAGCAGCTACCAGGCTGGCATGAGTGGGTCCCAAAGCCTCTGTCGAGCTCTCCCTCGTCCTCCCGCTGCCCAGTCTTGGGCAGGAACATCCCTTGGCTTGGTGCTTTCCCTCCCCTGGGCCTGCCCCTGCCTGGTTCTCCATTACATTTGTCTCCCTGCTCTAGCTCCCCCATCTCAGGAGCAGCGGGATGTGGCAGCACCAGGCAGCCCTTGGACACATCCAATTCCTCCAAGTCCACCCTGCAGCTAGGCCAGCCCTGGCACTAAACTGGCACAAGCCCCGGGACACTACCAGCTTCTCCCTGTAGCCTTCTAACCTTGAGGCAGCCCAGCGCTGCGCATCCAGCCACGCGCGTCTGCACCTCCTCGTCCTCCAGCTGGTCCAGGTAGCACACGAGGGCCTGTGGGAGAGTGGGCGTCAGGGCTGTGCCCTCGGCTGTGCCAGACAGGGCAGGCAGCCTCCCAGGCCACCTCATCCCAAGCCCAGGACGTACCCGTTGGCGGAAGCGGGGGTTTTCCGCCAGGCTGCGGAGCTGGGCTGACACGGCGCTCACCACCTTGCTGTTACCCTCCACGAGGAGCAGGCTCAGTGCCTTCAGCCCCTCTTTCTTGAGACGGCCCTCGGGCACGCGCTTCAGGGCCCGCAGCACCACGTCCTGGTCATCTGAGTTCAGGTTTTGCGCCAGCAGCACTGTGGGAAGGGCCTGCTAAGCCGCGGTGCCAGAGGCCTGGCTCCGTTGCTGATTTGCCCCTGCTTCCTCGGGTGCAGCCTTGGGCATCTTGCAACCCCGCTGGGCAGAAGGACCCTCATGCAAGATATTCCCAGGGACATCCAAGCCAAGGTGCCAAGGGACAGGTGGAGAACCAGGGGAGCCCAGGAAAGAAGCACAGGAGTGTGCTGCACACAAGGGACGCATCAGGCTGATTCCCCCCTCCAAGGATGGATGTCTCGGGGCAGGCTGTGGAGTTGTTATAGGTTGCTCCTCCACAGCATGGACGCAGGAGCCTCCAGCACCCGTGCCAGGGCCTCACAGGAGCGGGAGAGCACCCACCTTCCTCCGCCAGCTCCATCATGTAGGCGTCCAGCACCAGGGCATTGAGCGACTCAAAGTGGCTCCAGTACTGGAAGATGGTGACCTGCTCGCTCTGGGCGCTGCCAGGTCGCCGGGGCAGCCGCCGATTCAGCACATCCTCCACCACCTTCACGCACACTGCAGGGAAGAGCCCAGGTCAGGGTGAGTGGGGTCTCCCCAGTGCGCCTGGCACCCATAGCCGGGTGGGTGGGAGGATCTGGCAATGCCCTTGCCAAGCACCCTAGGGTGCTGACTCACCTGCGTCAGCCAGGCCGGGGTGCCGCTCGTTGATGAGCGCTGCGTACTGGGTGCTCAGCACCTGCAGGAACCGCTCCACGGGGCAGGTGTAGACGTTGGGAAGCTCCACGCAGAGGTCCCAGAAGGGCAGCACCCCGTCCTTCTGTGTTGAGAACTGCACCACTGCGGGGACACATGCGGTCAAGCCTTCCCTGGACCCTGGCAGGCCAAGCCAGGCCCAGGAGAGCGGGGCTAGGCCCAACGCAGCCCGGTCAGGGTGGCGCAGACGGGCGTCCCTGCGCCACAAGCCGTTACCTTCGGCAGCAGAGCCGGCTGCTCCCGATCGCTCCTCCGTCAGCTGGCACACGATCTCCAGCACCTGCGCCTCGCGCAGCAGCCTGTCCAGCGCGTACATCTCCCGGCACCGCAGCGGCCCGAAGGTGCCCAGCTTCTGCAAGGCACAGGCAAGGCGCTGAACTCAGGGCCAGAGGGAGACACCCAGGCCACAGCACTGGCTGTGGCAAGAGCCCGCACGAGGAGGGTCATTGGAGCTGCCTGGTCTGCCGGGATCCCGCAGGCCTCCCAGACCTGGCAGCCTCCACACAGGCCCCGTGGCTGTGCCCCGCGCTCACCAGCAGCAGGCAGTTGCAGGTGTTGAGATGAAGCACCAGGGACTTATCCAGGAACTCGTTGCCCGTGCTCATGGGGTCTGTGCTGCCTTCGGAGCAGCTGCACAGGCCAGCGTCGTCCGCCCCCATCTCAGAGGCGCTGGGGGCCCCGCTCCCACGGCGGGCTTTGCCAGCCCTCCTGCGAGCCAGGAAGAGATGGAGCCATCAGGTCTGGGCAGGAAACCCAGAGTCAGCCCTCCCTTCCCCACCCATCGCTGCAGGAGAAGCAGAGTTTCTGTAGGACCTACAGTGTTACTCCAATTGGGCTGCTCCGGGCTAGGCAACGGAGGAGATCCCAGAAGTGCAGGGCTGTCTCTCAACCCAGACCCCAGAGAAAAATGGGGTGGCATTACACTCCCCAGAAAGGTTGGGTCCCTAGACACTCCTGTCCCAGCTGCCCCGCACCCCGTCTTGAGCCCCGCTGCTGCGCACCTCTCATCCCGCATAGCCTCCTCCTCAGAGCCCTCCGAGTCATCCATGTCAGAGGTGTTGAGGAAGCTGAAGCTCTCCAGCGCGTGCTCCACCGTGAGGCTCATGCTGGAGGCCCGGCTGAGGAACACCCCCTGCTTGTGCTGTGGAGGAGCGCATGGCTTCGTCAGAGCTTGGTGTGCTAGTCAGCACGGCCTGGCACGCTCATCCCTGTGTACTGCCAGCCAGGATGGCTATGCCGTCCTCGTCCCCAGGCCCTGCCAGCTGGGATGGCCCCAGCACCCTCATCTCTGTGCCCTGCCAAGATGGCCCCACCACCCGCATCCCCAAGCACTGCTGTGGACTCCCTCTGAGGCCCCCTCACCAGCAGGATCTCCTCCAGGTGTTTGAGCTCCCGTTCGAGGGGCTGCAGCTCTGGGAACTGTCCCCGATAGTCTTCCAGGGCTGAGCCCAGGAGGCTGATGGCCTCCTCCAAGCCTGAGTCCACGGCCTTCACTCGTGGCACCTCAGGGGGAGCGGCAGGAAGGAGCTGGGTGTGGATGGGCCTCTCCTCCGTGGAAATGTGTGCTGGGCCCGTGGCCTGTGTGGGGGCTTTGGTGTCACAGCCACCCTGCATTGGTGCTTGGCTAGCCACCGGCTCTGCCCGCGTGGCCTCCACCTCACAAGACTCAGCCCATGACACCATGCCACGGGGCTTGGCCTCGAGGCCTCTGTCCTGCCCTGCCCAGGCTGCTGGCACCACGTTTGAGGCACCAGGGAGGGAGTCTGTGTCTGGCTCGCCTGGGCCAGAGTCCTCTGGGCTTGGAGAGGGCTCCCACATGCCCTCCACAGCCTTAGTCTCCATCGTGGCATCCAGGCTGGCTTCACTGATGTGGCTCAGTGTCCGGGAGTAGGGCACATGCCCGTTGGCCATCACATCCTTCTTGGAGCTGCCTTGCTCCTCTGGCCGCTCGGGCAGCCCTGGTCCAGCAGGGATGCTGGCTCCAGCGCCTGCCTCCTGCTGCTGGGAGAAGGAGATCTCGATGGCTGGGGCCGAGGCCTGTACTTCTGGCTGCACAATAGGCTTGTGCACCGTGTGCCGGGTACTGCCTGACAGCTGGGGGCTTGAGGAATCATCCGATGACTCCGAGGAGATGGACCAGGCGGTGCCATTCTCCAGTTCCTCCTGGCGCCGCAACATGTTCTGGGAAGGGAGAGGACACAGTGCATCAGCTGGGCACCTGCGCTGGCCGCACAGCTCCTAAGGAGCATTGCCATCACCTGGGCTGCCTTTCCATCCCATTGAGGGGGCCAGGATATTCCTGAGATGGAAGGCACTGGGGCTGCTGCAGCCCTCGGACTCTGGGGATCTCGTGACGCCAGAGAAGAGGTCAGCTCCCTCTAGCTGCAGGACCCTGGGCCCTGGAGCTGCTGGCTCAGTCCTCTTGCCCAGCCTGGCTCCACAGTCTCAGAAAAGAGGAAGGCAGAAGCCTTGCACATCATGTCCATACTGCCTATGTGCTGCCACTCCTTCAAGTCCCTGACCCCATATCGCAGTGGGGAGGGAACCAGGAGTCCTGCTGCCCAGACCCACCGCATGCACCCCGCTTTGCTGGGTGCCCTTCCAGCACCCCAGCAGCCCCCGGGTGCTATGGGAAGCTCTGTTGCAGAGGAGGTGCCACGCACGGAGCGCAGCCTTGCCACACGCCACGGCTATGAGGACAGCTCCGGCCCCACCACCAGCCCGCAGGGGGCAGCACCAGCCAGCACGCCACGTCACACCAACGCCACGCCAATGCCACCAGCGCGGGGACACGGACACACCTTCTACTCACTACTGCCTGGCTCTCACACGAGGGCTCACAGATGGAGGTGCAGGAGCAGCCCACACGGCCAACGCTCCCGGGGCCGGGCTCCAGGGGGAGCTGAGGCCACTAGCGCTCATTGCACCAGCATCCCTGGTGGCTCTATCCCCTAATGCCAGCCAGGGCCCTGGCTGGCAGGATCAGGCCATCAGCTGGCAGGATCAGGACCTCGGCCTTCGGAAAGGCCTAGTGAGTAGGAGGCAAGGAGCAGCTATCACTACTGCAGAACGGCCAAGCCATTGGGCTAAGCTACAGGCCGGCTCCAGCCCTCGCACTTACACAGCCCTGCTGCGGCCATCTCCCGAGCTCGACCGAGGAGACGTCGCCGCAGGAGCAGCTCTGAGACAGCTTCTCGAAGAGTGTCTCCCGAAAGATGTCCAACAAGGACCAGCCGTGCTTGTCGGCTGCCCGCGCCGGGCTCTTGGGCAGAGAGAAGAGGAGCCGTGAACACGGGAGGAGCAGGGGCTTACAGGCTGGTGTTGGGAGGCCGTGGCCTGGTGGATGGAGCAAGGGGTATGGAGGGACAAGAGAGGGACATCTCTCCTCTGCCATGCCACCCAGTGGGACCTAGCAGGGCACACGTAAGTCGACGAAGGGGCTGGGTGGACACATCCCTGCACAGTGGGCAGCTCTGCCCTGCGCCGCACTTACGTAGAAAGCCTGTTCCCGCAGGGATGGTGTGTCAGGTGGGCTCTGGTTGTACGTGGAGAACCGCTTGTTCACTGTGGAGGCCTTGTTGACAGTGCTGGCTGCTGAGGGCTGGTCGTCCTTGTCGAAGGGGCTGGTGAACAGAGCAGGGACATGAAGGGTGCAGGCCAAATGATGGGGTCCCGACTCTGCTCTGCAGTGAGCAGGAGGGATATTGGGACAAGCAGGGCCCCATGGTCCTATTCAGTCCTCCTCTGGCACCCCATAACTACAACCCAGGATGGGGGAGAACCCAGAGCAGGCCAGCTCTTGCCTTGCCATGCCAGGCATCCCTGCCCTGCCATGCCCTGCCAAGGATGCCTGCTGAGGTACTCACTTCCAGGTCACCTCCAGGCTGAGTTTGATGGTACCCAAGTCATTGATATCCACAGCCACTACTTGAGGTAGAGCTGCAAAGAGGTCCTTAGTCTCACATGACACATTGCCCACCACGACATGGTTGGCCAAGCTCTTAAGCTCCGTCACCTGGGGAAGAAAGGAGAAGAGAGGATGAGATGAGGGCACTGAATGCTAGGCACACAGCACCCTTGCTGCTGCCTGCATGCCACAACCGTGGAAGAGTACCCACTCCACCCTCTCCAGCGAGGATTAGGTCTCGGGTCCTGGAGGCAATCCTTGGAGAGATGCAATGTGGTAGCTGGGCTGCAGCAAGCCCTCACTGTCTCTCAGTGCTGCATCTGGTGTGCTCTCCTCCCACAGGCAGCTCATGGCTTTTTACAAGTGTTTAGAGCAGTTTTCCCTTGGGGCATGGCATAACCTCTGCTGCTGTTCCCCTACATGGCTCCCAAGAAAGGTGGTGCAGTGCCTGTCAACCCACATTGTCTCTTCCTCCTATCTGCTCTATCCCTAGAGCCCTGTACCTTGATGGAGAGGAACTCGGTGATGAGGGGCAAGAAAACCATCTCCTCGCTGTCCCACACCTGCTTGCTGTTCACCTCAATGCGCCCCCGCAGCTTCCACCGTTGCCGTCCATACTTCATGAAGATCTGGGGAAAGAGCAGAGGCATGAGGGCGGGGGGAGACACAGCACTAGGATGGTGGGTGCTCTCCACACCTTCCCAGGCATGTCCAGGGCTTCATGCCACCCGTCACAGACCCACACCAGCCCAGTCAGCAACGCTACCCCAGGTCAGGGTCTGTCTGCACATCCCCATGCACAGCAAGGAGCACAGGGTGGAGGATAGTGGAGCCTGACCCATGTCCCAGAGGTCCCACCAACCTCATACTGGTCACCAGCACACAGGCGGGCAAAACCTGCCAGTCCTGCAAGAGAAGACGGAGGGGAGTCAGTGCACAGCTGAGCCCATGGTCGGGAGGGAGCAGTCAGTGGAGTCCCCCTCCAGCGTGTTACCTTTCATGCGGACATGGAACTCGCCCAGCTGACTCTCCAGCTCGCTCTCCAACAGGCACATGTTCTGGGGCAGAGGATGGAGAGCACCTGTCAGTAGCAGCCCCCAGGTTCAGCAACCTCTTGACCTACCCCCATGCCAAGCTCCTCACCTCTGTGTACTCTTTGTAGCCCTTGCTGGCCTCAGCCAGGCTCTCACGTGCCTCTCGGCTGCCCGGGGACCCTGTGCTGTAAGCCTTGACCATGTTGTGGGCCCCATCACGGAGTCGCCGCTGGATGCAGTAAGCCTCATAGAGCTCATCTATCTGCAAGGAGAGGCCCAGAGCTGCAGCAAGGGGCAGGCTGCTGTGTTGGGAGGGCCAAGCAGCAGGCAAGGACCATGGGCTGGCCAGCACCAACTTGCTACACCTTAAGCCTTCCCTCGGGCAGCCTCCAGGGCACCCTGCTCACGCAGGACCACGTGCCCGGTGGGACAGCACATGGCTGCATTTGTGCCCAGACATGGCTGTAGAGCAGGCTGAGTGGGGCTCAGCACAAGCTTGCCTTGGCATTGCTGATGCATGACTGATGCGAGGAACAAGCTGGGAGCCAGGCAGGGAAGAGTCCCATGTTCCCAGTGCTGCAGGGACCACAAAGTTGATGCCAGACCCCAACTCTTACCTTGCTAGCATGAAATTCCAGGCGACGCAGGAAGCGCTCTATTGACTTGACTTGCTGGAAGAGCAGAGGGGACAGTGTCAGAGGCAAGAGCAACCTTCCTGAGAGGGGCGGCAGGCCAGGATGTGCCCAGGCCTGCTGCATGCCCATGCCATTGATTGGGACATGCCCTGGTCATTGGCCCTGCTGTGTGCAGGGCTCTGCAGAGGTGTAGCTGGTGGCGAGCAGAGCCGAAGCTGAGCTTGTACCCACGAGCTGACAGCAGCCTCCAGCCTCTCTTGTTTTGCAGGGTCCAGGGTGCTCTTCTCCCATGTTCACCCAGGCTAAGAGCTAACCCAGGTCACCAACCACAGCTTCTGTGTACAAGAAGCTGGCTACAAGTTCCTGCTTGTCCTTGCTTCATCCCACCCTGCCCAGAGTGCCCCAATCCCATGCTGTAGACACTGCCCTGCACAGACGGAAGGGCAGGTACTGGCCGAGGGGACACTGCTAGAGGAAAAGGGGCTTGCAGCAGCATATTGCTGGCCTTAGGATGAGGAAGGCAAAGGTGACAGGACACTGTTCCCACTTACCTTATCCAGGTCGTAGAGAAAGCCCTGGGGGAGAGAGGAGAGGGATAAGATGCAGCACAAAGCCAGCTCTGCCCAAAGAGACCCGGCACATCACGCAACCACCACCCATAGCGTGTCAGAGGGGACATGGAGCACCCAGCCAGGGCTGCAGAGATGTGCAAGACAACAGAACTGGAACCCTGGGCAACCCAATGGCTGTCACAGGAACAGGCTCTGCCCAGGGCACAGATGGACAAGGGATTGCCCCACCACGACCATGAAGCGAAGTGCTGCTCCCCATAAGACCCTTCTCTCCCAGGCACCCAGGCTGTACCGAATGGAAGCCGGCTTGCCCAGACACGTCCCTGGGGGCTGTGACACTCACCAGGCGCGAATTCCTCTTGGACTCACGGATCTGGGTGCTGAGCTTCTCCAGTTCCAGCTGGTGTACCTCCAGGTAGGCTCTGGGGCGACAGCACCACAGCGGTCAGGCTGAGGTGGCACGCGTGGCCTGGCCCCTGCCAGCCACAGCCCACACTTTGCCCATCAAGCCAGCTCAGGCCCTGTGCTCCCTTTTCCCACTTCCCATGTACAGTGGCCTTGAGCACCTGGACAAGGGAACCCACAGGCAACCCGCTCTAGGATGCAGAGGGTAGGACCAGGGCCAACACTGAAGCATTATGACTGTCCCCCCTCACTGGGGACAGTCGCATGGAGATGGTGCAATCCCGGCCCTCTTGTTGCCCTGGGGGACCTCAGGAGCTTGCACCCTTTCTCCCGTACTGCTTCAGGACCCTGAGGCACTGCACAGAAGCACGATTGAGAGGAGAGAGAAAGCTGCTAATCCTGTCCCAGTCCATGCCAAGCAGTCCCCTTACCCTCTGGGCCTCCCTGACTTCAACCTCCCAGCCACAGGGAGACCCAAAACTTACGTCAGACCCTTCTTTAGCGCTTCATACACCTCATCCAGGCGGTTGGGCTGAGGCACCTTGGGTGGCGGGGATTTGTGGGACATTGAGAACATCCTACTGACCCTGGAGCCAGCCTTGCGGGAGACGGTGGGGGTGAAGGACGAGAGGTTCCTGCAGAGAGAGGCCGGCAAACCCAGCACGGCCAGGGTGAACACATAGTTGGGGGCAACCCCAGGGCCTCCCAGCCTGCCAAGTCACCCCAGTTCAAGACCAGAGAGAGCCCCAGAAAGGAGGCCAGGTCCTGGGAGCGCTGCGGCCAGAGTCTGCACCACTGCTGGAGCCAGCCAGGGCCCCGGGTCTGGGGTCGCAGCGTCTTCATGGGCCCTGCTGGCTCTCACTGCCTCCAGGCAGAGAAAGCCCCAGGCCCAAAGTGCATCCCATGCTCCACATGTGACAGGAGCAGCTTTGCAACCTCCTGAGTGCCAGAAGGGATGGGATGGGCAACCCACGAGGTCCAAAGTGACTGGTGTGAAGGTTCAGAGATAGGTGCAAACACCCTGAAGCAGCACGTGCATTCAGCAAGGCACAGGGGTTAGCTGGGGCCTGCACGAGTGCATGAGCCACAGGCACTATGGCCACTTGTGTCATCGCTGGCCATCCTGGTGACATCTCAGGCCCAGGACAGTCTTGGACCCTGCGTGTCAAGGTGGATGGCTCCACAGGACAGCAGTGAGTATGACAAAGGTCTGTGAGACCTCTACAGAGGGGTGGAAAACACTGCTTACTTTAGGAAAGGGATGCAAGGAGGAATGAGAACAGCCCCTAAGATGCATACGACTGCCCAAAAGCCAGGGCTGTCAGCAACAAGGGCTCAGCCTGAAGATGGAGAGCTCTGTAATGCCACCCCACAGCACGGTGACACGTTCGGGAAAGCAGCCTGATGCTATGCCTCTCTGCACCTCCCATCCTATGCGGCTTCCTGGAGGAGAGGCCAAAGACTTCTCTGAATCTTTGCTGGCAGGAGCGGGAAGTAGTGAATGTCTTGGCCTCACCCCAAGCCAGAGTGATGGGCAAGTGCTTGCTCTCCACAGCCATTCCTCCTCATCCTCATCCTCCAGGGCCCTGGATGCAACAAGCATCTCCCCAGAAGCCGCTTGGCTGCTGGAGTCCATCCAGCCCCACCTGTATTCGCTTTTCTGAGTGACCACGAGCTAGGCTGGCACCCTCAGATCGGGAGGTGTCTCCATAGCGGGCAGCTGGAGCCTGCCGAGCTGGACTCACATCTGCTCCTAGGCACAGGAAGCTCTATCTGGACTTGTGCCCACACAGCTGAGGTGTCCACTGTGTGGCAAAAGGCCCTCCTGAGGCCAGGCTCGCTCCTGACACTGCTTTCTGCTAGGCTAAGAGATGTCTCTCCTGCCTTGGAGATGCTGGGTGCATCAGGAAGTAAGGAGCCTGGCTAAGAGCTAGGAAAAAAGGGATTACAATGCCATGACCCAGCAGTCTAAACCCATGGCATGCCCATGTCCCAAGGGACACCTGCAGCTCTGTGGTAGAGGGAAGTCGTGCTCTATCTGCTCTTCCATGGTCCAGGCGGGCTGCACGGCCCTCATCCAGCCTGGGATGACCCTTCCTCCTGACTGGGATGTGGCACCATTGAGTGCTGGGCTGACAGACCCTGCCCTGTCCTCATCCTCTGCAGTGTGAGCACCCAGCTCTTACCTGAAGGGTCTCTCCACTGATGAATTGACTCCTGCGAATGACTGGCTCCTATTGATCTTGGTGACGAGGACTCGGCGCTGCGGCCGCACAGACAGCGACATCGTCGAGTGTGACCTGGAGGGCCTCCCTGCGGGACACAAGACAAAAGGGTCACCCATGACGAGGGGGAGCAACAGACAGATGGACGCATCCCAGTCCACGGGAACCACAGAAAAAGCCTGACCTCCAAGGTCCACCATGGCCCTTCCAGAACACAGGCAGGTCCTACATGGTGCCCTGATCTGGCCATCTCCCCCACAGCCTCATCCCACGTCCCACTGCCAGGAAGGGCCCAGGGCTGGACCTGGCAACCCAGCCCTTTGCCGTCTCCAAGCTCGCTTCCGTTTGCTCCGGCTGCCGGGACGGAAACCCATGGACAACAAAGCACTCTGGAAAGTCCCCAGCTGTAGCCAACAGCTCTGTGTTGGGGAACGAAAGGCAGAGTAATCCCCAGAAGGACCCTGGAAAATCCGCATGGACAGTGCCCATGATGGGGACAGCGAACAGGAACATGCCCAAGCCCACTGCTGCCACAACCCCTCTGCCCCCAGCAGTGCAATGCCAAAGAAACAGTGTCAGGAGCCCCAGATCTGCTGCTAGTCCCTGTCCAGTCCCTGTGACGGCTGCCCACGCTGCGCAGGATCCAGCAGAGACACCCGCGGTGCCATCGCCACCACCGCGTCCCTCCCCTGGCTCCTGAGCCAGTGACCGCCC